GGATAGGGAGGTTGGACCCACCTTCCTCCCATACCTGGAAGCCCACCAACCACCTGTACTGACCGAGTGAATCTGGGCTTCTGTTGGAATTGCAACAAGATTTTAGTAACAATTTTTGAAAGAAGGTAATGTTTTATTTAAAAAGGAGCTATGGTTTTTGTAAATTCTAGTAGGTGTTCATTTTTCCTCCAACATTCCTTCTTTCTTCAAATACTTGTAAAGTTTTGATATATTTTATTTTTCACCCCTTTCCCTAATTAACCAAATTGTAAAAATAAGAGAATGAATTTTTTTCTCCTTAGTGTATGAACATTATAAAAATTGACATGTTCAGTACCAAATAATTATAAAATAGAAATTGTCAATATACAGTTTCCTGTCTGTCACCCATTTCTAGAATTACAATTACTTTGCAATTTCTCTTAATATTTTATCATTTTATATAGAGATACACATTTATATTTTAAGAGGCATCATGTGTAATATTAATTTGTAATCTGAAAGAAACCGGCGCCTGCCAAAGATCACTCTGTACACCAACAGAGCTAGAATAAGAGCTTTTGTTGTAGAGCCGCTGTGGCATTTGGCCCAGTAGGTGAAGGAGGAAGAAAAGGAGGGGAGGGAGCTGGGGAAGGGGCTTGGTTATATGGTGGGTGACTGGTACAGGCGGGTCAGGGATTGTGTGGGCTGCGGGCAGCCACTCAGGAGTCATTATTGGACACACTCCTTATACGAACAGGTCTTGTTCGTGCCCATGACTTGTGATGTAGGAAATGGAAACTAAGGTGAAGAAGGAAGTTACTTCTCAGAAAGGTGGCAGCCATTCCAAGGCACTTACCTTACATAATCTGCTTTTTTAACACATTCTGACTTTGTGTTAATATACATATATACACATGCAAACATACATAAATGTTAGTATATATAAATACATGCAAATACATTCATACTCCTGTGAGCCTCGCTCTCCCACAGAGTGCTCAAGCACTCCTCATTGTTAGTCCCCCCCTGGCTTGTTACAGATCTCTTTGCAGGCTTCCTTACTACTCTGATTATCCCTTAGCAACTGTTGGTTTCTAAGTATGGACTCCTAGGGTCCTTCTTGTTTTTTCTTTTTATTGGTACATTTTAGGTATATGATATAATGACATTCATCATTGAAATTTGTATCTTTACATAATCCATCTTGGTTCTTATTTTTTCCCCAATCCCCTGCCTCCCTTCAAACCCTCCATCCCTCCCCATTTACAAAGACTGTTTCCATTTTTTCATTTTCTCAAATTAATTCCATTCTCTACTTTTCCCTACCCCTTCTACTTCCACTTCCTCTTTGCCCTTTTCTTCCTATTTCACATTATGTATTACACCTTTTGATACTTATTTACACTTTTAGATTTTCACACCAGAGAAACTATTCAGTATTTACATGTGTGTCTTATTTCACTTGAGTATCACCCCAGTGTGCATCCATTTAGCTGTAAATGTCTCTAATTTCTCACTCTTTATGGCTGAATAGTGCCACATTTCATTAAAAAAATTTTCTTTTCATTCTCCATTTGATGAGTAATTGGGCTGTTTCCAAATTTTAGCTATTACAAACTGTGCTGCTGTGAACCTGGGTGCACATATATCGCAGTGGTATGATTCTTTTAATTTTGGGGGGAAGATCCCAGCAGAGGAATAGCTGGGTCAAATGGGACTTCCAATCCTAGTTTTCCGCGGTATCTCCATACTGATTTCCACAGTGGTTGCACCAGTCTGCATTCCCACCAACAGTGGAGAAGGGTTCCTTTTTCCCATAACCTTGCCAGCATTTGTTAGTGGTTGATTCATAATAGCCACCGTTCTTTCTGGGGTGAGATGGAATCTCAGCGCTTTCTTCATCTGCATCTCTCAAATGATAAGTGATGTTGGTCCTTTTTAAAGCTTCAGGACCACAGAGCTGAAGGATGCCCCAGAAAGATGCCAACCAGGAGAGATCTCCTTTCCCTGAGAGGATAGCACCCCAGGCCTGGTAGTATCACTTTGACTCATCTTTGTCTCTTCTTTTTTCTTCACCTGTCAATTCTAGAATGATTGATAAACTGTTTGGGCTGTTAATTTTGTGAAATATTTTACTACTTGGCAAGGCAGATCCACCCCCACTCTGAATTACAGTAGTGGCTCTATTTGTGAATGCTTTTGTTTGAGAACAGTTTGGTTCACACAGAAGCATTTGGCAAAATTTTGTTATATGTGAACTGTGCATCAGCTGCTGAACACAACTGCAACCATCTTTCCCATATGAACATGAACGTGGCCATCTTTTCCAGAATTATGGAATGAATTAAATTTGTGAACCAGTGTACCACTCTACTTAATTTATAAAAAATTTCCTGTTCTCATTTTTCCCCAGATGATTATGATGATAGGGGGTGGGGGGAGGGGAGATAACAGGGATTGAACCCAGGGCCTTTACACTGAATTACATCCCTGACCGCCCCTCTCCCTTTTAATTTCAAGTTCTGGTCATGCTGTGTTGCTCAGGTTGGGCTTGATCTGATGATCTTCCTGCCTCAGCCTCCTAGAGTAGGTGGAATACAGGACTGCACTACCATAATCCGTTCCAAATGAAACTATTCCTTTTGGAATTTCTAGAATTGACCTCTTTGTGATTTTCTTTGGCCTTGGATTAAAATCACAGGTAAACTTAATGCAGCAATTTAAGCTCTTCATTGAGAGCTTTGGATCTTATTGCCCAGGAACATAATCTACCTTTCAATTTACTTAGTTATCCCTCTCCATACCTCCCTGAAATGTTTCTGTCGTGTGCCACATGGCAGATGCACATGTGTTGTTGTTTATCATTAACCTTGAGATCTATGGTCTTTGCCTTGTTTACAACATTGGTTTGCAGTATGGATGTTGTGTTGAGAAAACTTTGGTTGTGTATAGTCTGATTTCCTCCTTTACAGAGGACTGAGCATTTTTTGTCTTGCTTTGTTTGCCCTTTGTTATTAATACGTTATTCTTATTGTCACCTTAGAACGAGGAGAAAGATTAGATCTTAATTTTAAAGTTCTTTCCTGGCTTTTGGAATGTCTTATTCCCGTGGAGTTAGGAGTGGACGATTTCTCTTACTCCCTGGATAATTCTGATCACATACTGAATTTTCCCGCAGATGTCCCCCTCTTGCTAGCTTGCCTGCTTTCCTCCCAGCTGTCCTCTCTGGGTGGCACCTGGTAGGCTGGCACGGTCACCTGTTCCCACCAGCTCTTGTTGCTCCCGCTGCACTCCCCCAGGAGCATGACCATCCCCGTGGGCCCATCACACTGGTCACCATGGACCAGCCAGGTGGACACCTTGATGTCCTGCGCCTCTGTGGCTGGCTGCCACCCAGCCAGGCTTTTTTAGGGAATGAGCTAAATCGCAGCTTCCACTGGGGTCTTGTTTTGGGCATATTTTATAGAATATTTCATTTTAAATTAGAAGTATATTTAATTTTCTCAAGACGGCTGCAGTTGTTTCTCCTCACAGCACTGCCCTGGTCATGTCTCAGTGTCATTTGGGGAGGAAGAGGAGTGGATGCCTCCTCTGTGTTTCTCTCCTGATGAGCCAGCCTGCCAGTCCTCCTGACAGGCTGCCCCATTGCTTTTGTGCCTGCCTTTCTCTTTCAGTCACTTCTACCAGACTCTGCTGTAGATGGATGGCAGGCACTCTGATCTGGTTATTTTCTCCTATTCCAGTAATTGTTCCTGGCTGCTCTTTCTAGTGGATTGTGATATTCTATGTAGAAGAACTAAATATATCCTCCAACTTTTTCCTCCTCTCCCAAATTGGAAGCCTGTATTTTGACAAAATAGTGAGCACATTCATCTTCCTTCTGCTTTGGCAAGACACGGTTCCTGTAGCTTATGTGTAAATTTAGTTTTTTGGGGTATCTTTTAGCTGTTTTTTTTGGGGGGTTGCCTCTTTGATTCGTTGGAACATAAGTATTGAGAAGGATACATAGGAAATTCAAAGAAAATGTGAATTTACTTTTTTGGTTGTGCTTTCCTTCCTTAATTTGGGGAGAACAAAAATTGCCTCCAGTGGTAGAAATTTTTAAAATTCTCTTATGGTACCAGGCGTGGTGCTATACACCTGTAATCCGAGGCTGTGATTTAGCTCATTCCCTAAAAAAGCCTGGCTTGGCTGCAGCCAGCCGTAGAGAGGCAGGAAGACTACCACAAGTTTGAGGCCAGCGTGGGTTACATAGTGAGTTCAAAGCCAGCCTAAACTGCGTAATGACACCCTGTCTCAAAACAAAACACCCAAAATTTTCTCTTATGGAGAAAATGCTGTTATCAGCATTTGTATATAAAGGATAAACATATTTTGGGATTATATGCCTTGATTATGTATTACATAAATGTTTTTTCTTAAATGATATAAATTGGACATATCAAGAAAATATTTTATTGTGCCCATAACAATGCATAAATTCCTAGAACTGTATCTTCTGCACGGTTAGAAGTATTTACCCCATGTATTTTATATTAAAGTTTTTCCACTGGTTTTTAAGTTGTAGATTCTGTCTTTTAAATACATTAGCTACTAGGAAGTTTTGAAAGCAAATTTCTCTTACGTGAATTACTGCTCAAAGTCATTGTCAAATCATTTTTCTTGCATTAAAATGAAGAACATAGACTGTTTCTGACTACTGCAGCTTAACGCATAATGGATATCTTTGTTTTAGTGAAAAATTTAGGGGGCTTTGACTTCAAACTTTACAAAATAAATTAGTCTTTTGAAGAACTCTGATCCAGAGCTTTGGATGCACTCCTGTTCTCTTGGTGTGTTGTTGCCATCTAGTGGTGTGACTTGGTCATGACTCCAGTGCTCAAATCTGCCATGTCTTGAGTTGGATAACGTGTACTCGGAAAATGTGACCTGTGGTCACATTGACAGGCAAAATAGTAAACAGGGACTGTACTCATGGTTCCGTTCTGAAAGTCTGTGTTTATGCTGTTTGTCCCCAGCTTCTGCTGTTTGAGCGGTCGTGGATGAACAGATGGAAGTCTTCTGTCCTGCATGAAGGGGAAGGCAATATTCGCAGCGTGAAGTGGAGGGGCCATCTGATCGCCTGGGCAAATAACATGGTAAAAGCCCATCTCTGCCTTCCAAACACTTGATTGGTAGCAGAAGAGTAGATAAGATTGATAGGGCTGTGACAAAGGGAGAGGTGCCATGCTGGTGGTTATTTCTAAAAACCACAAATGGCAGTTGATACCATACATAGGAGGTTAAAGAAATTAGATTGCTTTTAGCTTCCATAAAATAGTAACGCCTGCCGGGCATGGTGGCGCATGCCTGTAATCCCAGCACTCGGGAGGCTGAGGCAGGAGGATCTCTGTGAATCCGAGACCAGGCTGGGCTGCATAATGAGCTCCAGGTCAGTCTCAACTACATAGTGAGACCCTGTCTCAACACCCCCCCCAAGAAAAAAATAATGCCCAACATATTCTGGACTCTATTTTAGAATAAGCAACCTGGGGCATGGAGAGTAGGCAAGAGAATGAGCAACCATCTTAATAAGTGAGGGGCTGCATTGGAAATGAGGTCTGGAAGGCCAAGGGCTGGTAACTGTCGAGGTGAAATAAGTGTAGAATATCGCTGATTTATCTGTACTCCGAGCATAATCTGAGGCAGAAGTCTAGGCCTGCCTTTACGAAAGCAGATCATAAATTTCAGTACCACACTTAATTAAAGTTTACTTAGTTAAAGTCTATAAAAATTGGAGCCAGTTCATATTTGGCATATCTTTTGAAAATTTCAAGATATGATTTAGTAAATCAGCTTTTCTCTCTTTGTTCCTTACTGGGGATTGAACCACAGGGCCTTTGTACTGAGCTATATCCCCAGACTGTTTTAGTTTTTATTTTGAGTCAGGATCTCACTAAGGTGCACAGGCTGGGATAGAATTTATAATTCTCCTGCCTCAGCCTCCCAGAGTGCTGGGATTACAGGCTTGCGCTACCATGCCCAGCTTTTTTCAGTTTTAAATGATAGAAATCTCCTCAGAACCCATTTTCATTCCCAAGAGAGTTAAACTAACCTGTGGTTTCATGGTCCATTCTTAGCAGCTTGCTTGATGTTTCCATTTGAGAACTTTAAAATATAAGGTGTAGTTTTCTTTATGTAGGTGATTTCTCAAAAATCAAACCTCATTTTTGTGGTGTGGAAGTACAATTAGAAATGTTACTTGTCTGTCATTTTGGAAATGGAGTTTTTGATGTTTGTACATTTCACATTTGTGTTAGATTTGAGTCACCAGGCCACCTACTGATGAAACGTTCTGTGTCCACGAGGTGTAGAGATTTTTTTTGGTTTTAATTCTCACAGGACCTGTGAGGAGCAGGAGAATTCTCCTTTGCATCGCTCATAGCCGTACCCCATAAATGCTGCCAATATTTTGCAGTGCTCATTTGTGCAGTGCAGCAGGGGCTGTTGATAAATTTTCCTTTCCTTCCCTTCTTCCAAGTAGAGAATGCTTAGTGCTGTGTTGCTCTCCAGGGTGTGAAAATTTTTGACATCACCTCAAAGCAAAGAATCACCAATGTGCCCCGGGATGACGTGAGCCTCCGCCCAGATATGTATCCCTGCAGCCTCTGCTGGAAGGACGGCGTGACCCTGATCATTGGCTGGGGGACATCTATCACGGTGGGTTTGCTTGTCTTCATAATAACTTCGTGTTGTTAGAGATCCCTTGACAGTGGCCTGAAGGGATAGGAGTTCTCAGATGGCTTCTGTGACCCCCCCCCCGATGTTTTCACCTGCTGTGCTGATGGGGTAACTGTTTAATTATTTTCCGTTCGTAAGTTGTAAGGTACTGTACATTCTTTCTTTTCTGTATCAAGCAGTGCAACCTAGGCTTTTCCATGCTTAGAGTGGTGCTGACTTTTTGATCTTTTTTAAGTTTCCTACAGCCCAGTTGCAAGGCCGTGGCTATTTATGGAACATGTGGGTAGTTTTGCTGGTTAGCCAGGTTTTCTTTTTATTATTCCATCTCCCTTAGCTTTGACCCTTAGCATCTTCGTTTGAGTTATTGATGGTGGAGAGAGAATGTTAAAACTAAATCATCCCATTTGCTTGGTAATTTTGATGGAGTAGAGGCCCAGACGTATTATCAGTAATAAGATCTGGGAATATTTTCTGGGCATATAATTATCTGACCTTAATGTGCCTGGGTGAATGAGATTTAGCTGCTCTATAGAAAGGGCCAGAGTTCAATCACATTTGTCTCCCACACACCAGAGCTTCTGTCAGAGTAGGTACTTCACAGCCAAAACTTGTTTGCTTGCCTTTAGAAATACATTACTTAATATAAACAAGCTAAATGTTAGCTGAATTAAACATGGTATGAGAAGGTGTCCCGGCGATCATCAGTCTCTGGAGGCAAGCAGGCCTGGGGTCTGTTGTGACTCCTCTTCCTCCTGTGCCACCCTCCCTCAGCCCTGCTGTTCCCATCTGCAAAGCGATAGTCCAGCCATGGCTCACATCGCAACTTTGGATGAGCAGAGAGTGAGCGAAAAGCTACAACATGCTTGGCATACAGTCTGACATATTATAATTGCTTAGTAAATGATGGCTCTCATACCGGGAATCCTAGAAAGACCATGAAAGGGATGTTACTTTTCAAAGCTCACTCTTTGTCTGGTTAGGGAGAGCATGGAGTTTACTGATGCTGTGATTGTTACTTCCAAAACCATCACTGTTTCGAGGTAAGGGCTTCCAGGCCCTCCCTCACACTGGAGCAATACGGGTTTTCTTTCTTTTTAGATGGAGTATGAAATGATTGTTTTCATGCGTTCTGTCAGCATACTTGATTCATATGTAGATTAATAAAAAAGAAAATGTGTCCAGTGGTCTTGTATAAAAAAAGTGATCTGCCATCTCCCCATTCCATGTGTGGTTCTCAATCCAATAAGTTTATATTCTTTTTTTAAAGTACATTTTCGTTAGTGCCTATAAATTTTACAAAGTACTGGGTTTTGATGGGGAATTTTCATACAAGTCTATACTGTAATATATTTTTATCATTATACATCTCCCTTACCCTACCTAGCACTTCTGTCCTCCCGTCATCTTCTTTAATAATATTTCCTCTTCTTTCGTGCCATCTTTTCCACATGTAAATTTATGTTCTTGGTATCTTAAATGTTCTGTGAATATTTGTTTTCCTCCATGGGTTTTTATTTTAGAATATTCCAAAGTGTAGCCACATTTAGGGTCAGTTATAAATGATCACCATCTCAAAGAAAAAGGGGGTAAAAAACCCAATACTGACGAAAGTCATATAAGATCAGTCTTTGACTTCACGGTTAGTCAGTCTTACCTGGGTGACTGAATTTACATAAATTCTTCCTGTTTGTTACTACAAAATTGAATATTTTCCTTCAGAAACTACAGCACAGATGGTCGAAAATGATCATAGCCTTATCCACAAGCATTATTAAAGTGCATATGTGGTGTGTGGTGTGTCTGTGTATGTGTGATAGGGTAGAGGGTGACAGAAAGAGATTGAGGAATAGACCCAGCTTAAGCCACAGACTGAGGTATGTATACATTTCTACCTGCCCTGCATACGTACAATTGAAAACAAAGGTCAGCACAGGTTTTTTGTAAATGGCTGGTAGTCATGTGTTAGATTTGCAGGCTCCATAGTCTTGTCACCGCTGCTGTTTCCCCTTCCCTCCTCTGCACCTCTCTTTGTTCCCTTAAAAAATTGTGAAAAATACCATACTCAAAACAGCTGCAGCTGGGCATGGCTGCCATTCTCCAATTCTGCAATACATTGATCGTAATCCACATGAGGTAACAAGAGCACGCACCCTTCTGGAAAGTATCTTGAACAACAGGAACTAATGTGTAGTTGGAAATATCAGGTCTAATGTGAACACTGGTCACCTTAGCCCTGGGGTTTTTGGTTAAATCTTCCGAGCAGAGCCCTATCTGCATGGTGAAGATCTCTGGACAACAGGATTACATTCTGAGAAGTTCCCCGTGGGTGATTTCATCATTGTGTGAATGCATTAGAGAGTACTTAGACAAACCAAGACACTCAGAGGATCACTGAGCAATAGAATCTGGGGGCCCACTGTAGTATACATGTTCTGGGATTGACTGCAGGGTCCTTATCGCAGCATGGGATGCAGTAAGTAAAGTTTCAGAGACCAATCATTAGACTCTATTAAAAGTCTTAAAGTTTTCTTTCTTTGCCCTTGAATAAGACTGCCTACCTGTCTCTGCTTCTCAGTCTCTTTTCTCTCTCTGTGTTTCTGTGTTTCTCCCTCTTTCTAATGTGGTACTGGGGACTGAACCCAGGGCCTTTGCATACATCCTCAGCCCATTTTTAATTTTCAGTTTGAGGCAAGGTCTTGCTGAGTTGCCCAGGCTGGGCTCAAACTTGCAGTCCTCCCCACCTCAGCCTCTCCCACCTGGTTTACAGGCATGCACCACCATGCCAGCTTTTGAGAATGACTTTATTGAAGAAGAATGTTGGAGAATGAGTATAAGTAATGGTTGCTATATATCATTCAAATTAATTTCTGTCGTTAAAATCACACCGTAGATTTATGCATTCCATCTTCAGGGCTACATGGTTAACTTAATAAAAGTATCATACATCAAATAATCTGTTACGAAGAATTTTCCACTAGCTGAATAGAATAACCTGTGGTTTATTTTCCAGATATGTTCAGTGAAGGAACGGCATGCTGGTGAAATGCGAGATTTGCCGAGTCGCTATGTTGAGATCGGTATGGCTCCTTCACCTGTCTTCTCTGAGCGTAAAGCTGCAAAAGAGTCTGCTTTATTAAATGGAAAGCTGAGGCTGTGTTCTTCCTCAGGGCGTATCTCTTAGTATGTATATTAAGTAGACCCAGGAGTTTTTATGTTTTGAAACTTTCCTTGAGAATCCTTTTTTAAATTCTATTTTATTCATTAAGTTTATTAGTGCATTTTAGGTATACAGTGTAACATTCATCATTGGGAATTTGTACCTTTACATAATCCATCTTGGTTCTTATTTTTCCCCGTTCTCCTGCCCTCCCTTCACCCCCTGCACTATTTACAAAGACTGTTTCCATTTTTTTCTTTTCTCACATTTATTCCTTTCCCCTACCCCTCTGAACTCACCTTCTCCTACCCCTTCCACTTCCCCTTCCCCTTTGCAACTTTTCTTCCTATTTCACATTATCTGTTATACATTTTGATCCTTATTTACTTTCAGTTTCTCACACCAGAGAAACTATTTGATATTTACGGATGTTTGTCCTATTCATTTCACTTGAGAGTATTGCCTCACTGTGCAGTCATGCAGTCATTTAGCTATAAATGTCTCTGGTTTCTTATTCTTTATGGCTGAGTAGTACTCCTTTTTATAACACACACACACACACACACACACACACACACCCCACTTTCTTTACCCAGTCTTCACTTGATGGGCAGTTGGGCTGTTTCCACATTTTAGCTATTACTTGGGTGCCACTATAAGCATGGTTGTGCATATGTCACTGTTGTGTGATTCTTTTAATTCTTTTGGGGAGATACCCAGCAGGGGACTACCCGGGTCAAATGGGACCTCTAATCCTAGTTTTCTGAGGTATCTCCATGCTAATTTCCACAATGGTTGCACCAGCCTGCACTCCCATCAACACTGGAGAAGGATTCCTTTTTCCCACAACCCTGCCAGCATTTGTTACTGGTTGATTTCTTGATAGCCATTCTTTTCTGGGATGAGATGGAATCTCAGTGTTGTTTTCATCTGCATCTCTTAAATGAACAGTGACATTGAACATTTTTTCATATGTTCATTTGATGTTTCTACTCCTTTGAGAAATGTCTATTCGTGTCAGATGCCCATTTTTGGATTGGGTCATTAAATTTGGGTGATCTGATTTTTTTAGGTTCTTTATATATCTTAGATAGTAGACTTTTGTCTGAAGAACAGCTGCTAAAATATTTTTCCCACATTGTGGGTTGTCTCTTCACTCAGCTCTCCAAAAGGTTTTAAACAATATCCATAGGAACCCTTTTTAAAAAACTATTTCTGAATTTCACGTGACAGTCCTGTAGTTGGCTTTGAAGTTAGATAACCTGGGCCTGGGTTCTGGTGTTGTCACTTCCCACCTGGACTTTGGACACATTGCTGACTACTTCAGTAATCTCATCAACAATATGTGGGAAAGAAGCCCTGTTTCCCAGGTGAGTTGTGAGAGGTGTGAGAGTTACGGACATACACACACCCACACCCTGCATGCCGTGCTGACACCTGGTCCTGCTGCCTTGTACCTTCCGAGTCCTCCTTCGTGCCATGGCTGGTCTGGCCCAGTGGTCTGCACCCCCGCAGCAGCTTCAGAACTGGTTTGTCTCCTCCCACCATGCATACTCCCCACACAATAGAAATACAGTTCAGATTCTGTGCTCATCCCCCATGGCTTCCTGTTCTTAGGGTGAGGAGGGGACATGGTTCTTGGTGTGGAGCACAGAGATTGGCAGCCTTCTGTGCCCACCTGGCTGTGGCTCCTACTGAGCTCCTGGTCTCCTCCCTAGGCTCCTCCTTCTCCTCTGTGTAGAGTGTTTTTGTTTTTTTGGGGTTCCCCCCACTCTTTTTGCTTCCTTGAAGTTTACTCAGACTTAGCTCACGCTGCTTTCCTGAGAACCCCCACTGGACCCAAACTCGGCCACATCTCCCGTGGGCTTCCTTAACACTGCACCACCACTGGAAATGCAGTGGCAGCCATCTCATTCACTGGCTGTGTCCCTGTGACTGCCAGACTGTCACATGGATGCGAGCACACACTGCTTCTGTCTATACTACTCGCTGTTCGTGTCTCATGGACCTGGCCCAGTGCTTGGCACACAGCGGGCGCTAAACAGTAATCGTGTTGCATGCACTGATGACCGTGAAACAGCTGCCTAGGAGAAATGTGCCAAGGACAGTATACCATTACTTTTCTGAGTTTGCAAAAATTATTCTGAGAGGGGAAAAAGTTTCACCATATTACAGGTCAACTATAAAGTTCATTTGCCCATTCAGATGGCGAACAGGAAAGAAATATTTGATGGGTTATTACAGCAAGGAAAAGCTGAAATAAATCATTTGGTCCGCATTACCCATATGACTGATGTGGTTATAGTATTTAATTCTGGGCTGTTTTGTACTTGAAGGCAAAAGTTTGATTTAATTTTTTTTTTCTGCTTTAGAGAAGGATAACTATGTAGTTCCAGATTAAGGAGAAAGATGGCATATATATAGTATACTGAGAAAAACTGAGGAATACGATAGTAGAGAAGACTGATAATTAGAAAAGTAATAGTATTTCACTGTCCTCCTCTTTTTTTCCTGCCCTGTCTTCTATACCAGGAAAAAAAGAAAAAACACAAACAAACAAAAAAAACCTGAACATCCTAGTGCATCATATCCTGAATTTTTTGTCCTGAATTTTAAAAATATAAACATGTAAAAATAATTGGCAGAGAAGTATAAGAATATTATGGCAGTTGTCATCTCTTTTTGCTTGGTGCTTGTTGCTCGCGGACTCAGTATGGGTTTTGTGCTATATGTGTTACCCACGTGAACTCACTTCACTCTTGCAGCAGTTGTGGGAGATACGGCTTTTCAGTCTAAACATGAGGAGATTGAGGGTCAGAGAGGTAAAAATAACTCGTCCAAGATCCTGCCACCAGGGTGTTAAAATGGGCCAAAATCTAATGCTGCAGAACCACCAGAAAGTTGCCAAAGAGTCCAGGCAGTTTGTTGAGGTAATGTGTGATTATTATGAGGTGGCCTAACCTTTCTGAGCCACACTTTGCCCACATGTTAGTGAAGGCCAGGGGATGTGAGAGTCAGACCTGACAAGGTGACAGGCTTAGGTCATACGTGGCACTAGTAGTTGCTCACTAAATCCTGGCAGCGATGGTTACCTGCATACTCCTATCCCCACTCTGGCTGCTCAGTTATCCCCATGATGTCTGTATTATCCCAGAGCCGTGGGACCATATTATTGGAGTGTAGTTCACTTGTACTGTAATTCATGTGACACAAACCATGTGTAGGTGCTCACAGGATCACAGTACTAATGTTTTACTACTGCGGTTAGTGGTTAGGTACCATTTTCTTCCCCTCGTGAGAGCAGACCTTAAGAGTATAAACCATTTCCACAGCAGGAGGCAAAGTGGTTTAGATGAGTTCTTGAGTAGGATAAAGGAAAGAGGAAATCTAAGGAGGTCTGGATTACAATTCGCTTTATCTCTGAACAGTGTGAGCCACTGATTTTTAGTAAGTGAGCTAAAATGGCCCTGAGATTCAAGAAAGAGCTGCGGGTACACATTCCCTAGAAGCCACATGTTTATCTCTTGCAAGCCAGAATCACAAAAACAGCATCAAAGTTATTCCCACTGATAGGATATTGATACTGTAAATGAAAAACAGTAATGATACTGAACAGTATGTGCACACAGATTCTCTGTAAGCCCACAGAGACTCTCTGCACATAGGATTTGCAGGTAGCCTTTTCTCTTCCAGATCACATTGCTAAGAGGAGACCATGTTCCATAACTGTTATGTGGCATATTAACCTCGCTTGGAGCTCTTGTGTCCTCACAAGGCTCTTTAATCTCTGGGCCTGTTTGCCAGTCTGCCTTGGAGAGCTGATATGTGATTGGTAAATGAGGCCAGTGTTTGTATCATTTTTTCTGGGTGTCTGCTACCAGGGGCTGGTGGCTTACATGCAAGAAATTAATGGTTGACTTATCTCATGTGGAAATTTGTGTAAAAAATAATTGAGGTAAACCACTACATGAAAATCTATATACATGACAGAGAAAGCAGAAAGAAAGAAAGGGCAGAGGAAGGGTCATTAAAAAAATTAGCACAGACTAATTATTAGATGAATGGATTTCATTGTGACATTTTCATACACGTATATAATATACTGTATTGGTTAGGGTTCTCTGGAGGAAGTTTGTTTGTTGTTTATGCAAGAGGATTTATTAGGCTCCCAGGATCACAATAGAGTCCACATTGGCTGTCTGTGTGCTAGAGAGCTGGACTGTGCAGTCCTGCTTGGTCCAAGAGGCTGGAAGATGCAGTACAGAAGGACCAAGGATACATTGCCAGTCCTAGAGTGAAATCCTGGAAGCTCCCCAGAGAGTCCCTGGAGTGAGTCCATGTCCAGTGGCTGAAGAAACTGGAGTCTGATGCCGTGGTTGATGGCATTAGCAAAAAACACATCTCCTCTAGCGGAAAGGAGCTTTTCAAATGCAGCCCAACTTCCTCTTCCCCTTTCTTTCCATCCGGGCTGCGAAGCTACCGATGGCACTACCACAAGCAGGAACCATCTTCCTCCCTCAGTGTGCTGGCCTATGCCCACCACAGCTGGAAACACCCACAGTCACACTCCCAAGTGTGCTTTACCGATCTGCCAGGCATCTCTTACTCCAGTCAGGTGAACAACCAGGATTACCAGTCACACATATTCTAATCATGTCAATCCTTCGGTGTCTTTCCTCCCCTGCTCTTCCCCCTCGTCTCGGCCCCCTTCCTCTTCTCTCATGGTTTCCCTTGTTTTGATGTTGTCTTTTTCATTCTGTTTCCAGGCTAATTAAGCAGTGTCAATATTTTTAATTGGTCCACACGCTGTGATCTTAGAATTTAGCCAAGTCATTGTGTTTTCAGATGGCAATATGACCTAGAAGTTGGGGGTGTGTCTCTATGGTGCAGGAGAGCTGTGAAATGATTTTTCCTTAGATG